TCAGTTAGAAAGCTTAAGGGACTTCGACATTGCACGACCATAATATGTATCATCTAAAAAATAAATAAATAAATAAAAAGAAGAAAAGAAAAGAAAAGCAACAAAAAGTTGTATGGTGAATAAATTCATGCCTTAGAGACCTCATTAAAAAGGGAAATTCAATGATTTGAAGACTTGTGTTATGAAATTGGAAAAAGAAAGTAAAAGCCACATGTTGGGAATCCAGTTCACTTTCACTGAAGTTAGAGTTGATTTCTATTATAGATATGACAATTGAAGTATTTATATAGACCATGATGCTGATACATGAGAATTGAAAGATGTTTTCCCATTTTGTATATCAAGGCCTCATATACACACGGTAGTTTTCATAATGATTCCTTCTCCAATGTTCTCTATGTTCCAAGTTTGAAGATGAGCTTTGTGCAACTTTATGCACCATGTTTGATGTTTGTGGGTAACATTTCTGTTAAACCCTCACGAGACTTCACTCGTCCTCTAGGGATGCCTAGGGGTTTAAAAGGCTTGTTGCATATGCTAAATGCAACCGTCACTCTCATGAAAGAAGAGTCATTTTGTTATTCCATTGTGTGTTCAGTTTTGTTTTGCTAAGGGACTAACAAAATGTAAGTTTGGGGGTGTGATAAGCGCCGAATATTGCATATTCAAGCACCCTTAGTTGCATTAGTTAAGTCCATTATTTGATTATTTTATGTAGATTAATTTCATTTGCATGTTTTTATATATTTTCAGGTTCATTGGCCAAAAAGGAGCAAAAATGATGTTTTGTTCAATCTTTGAATAGCAATGTGCTCAAGGCTAAAGTTTTGGCAGCAGTGGAGTCTGACTTTGCTTTCCATTTTTGACCTAACAAACTCGAGAACTGGACTTCCATTAAAACAGGGCGTACTTAGAGCTTTGAATTAGCTTTCCAAATCTTCAAACGGTTCGTCATTTGGAGTTCGGAGCAGAAAGTTATGGCCATTTTACCAAAGTTACTTAGAGTTGAGCAAGCTGATGGAACTTCGAGCGCTCGAAGTGCTAACTTAGAGCGCTCGAACTTTGAGCAGAATGCTCTCCGGGATCCATCACTTCAGCCCACTTGCTCCTTGATTCCCTCATTTCTGATTTCTATCTTTATGGGTTGGTTGGAGATGTCTTTTGGTGGGAGTTGAGCCTTGTTTGGTGGAGAAGAATGTCTACAAAGGAGGAGAACCACACATAAGAAAATCATATCTCATCTTTGCAAGATTGGTGGAGAGAGGAGGAGGATGAGGAAAAGATTGAGTTCTTGAAGCTACAACAAAGGAGCTCGAAAATGGAGGTTGTATCCAAGCTTCTTCCTTCCTTTAGAGCTTCCATGGGTAACTAAACCTCCATCTAGGGAGATGATGAGGCCCCTCCTTTGTAAGCATGTTCTAATTTAGGCTATATTTTGGGGATTAAAATGTATATTCTATGGTCTTTTCATAACCAAGAGCACTTCATTTCTTGTAATGAATGTTGATATATGTATGGATGATTTCTGTAAGTTGATTATCTTGCTTTAGATGATGTCTTATATTAATCATATTGCTTGAGTTTTCATGGTGAGAATGGAGACAAGGTTATGAAATGGTTTAATGGCATGTTGATAAGGACTTTGATAGATCATTGCTCAGGTGAAACATTTGATGGTTTATGCTTATTTCTTACCTTCATGTGCTTCATCATTTTATCTAGGGCTTGATAGTCTTTCATTCAAGTAAATGTGGTTAAGTTACACCTTAGTTAGGTAGTCTAAACATGTTAACCTTTGATGGATCATGCTTGCTTCAGATTTAATGAACTTCTTGAGGATATTATAGCAACCAAGTGTTGCTATGTATCATGACCATAATATATATTGTTTTTCCCCCAATTTAACTCTAATATAGCATATGTATAGGGATGGAGGCGGATTCACTTCCCTAGTCCTCTTTACTTGTATTTCATCTCCCTTAAACTCTTGCAAACTTTTATTTTATGCACCTTAATTTCATAGCTTAAGTGACAACCAACAAATCCTCTATGAATACCCCGTATCATTCTAAAAAGACTCTAGACACTTAGGTTACCATAGATTAGCGCAGTCCCAGTGGTTCGACTTACCCAACCAATAGCCCTATTTTACAATGATTCGTGCTATTGCGAAGGCTGATTTATTATAGATCGAATTCTCAACCGATCATTACTTAAACTCTTAAACCCATGATACGAACCCAGAAAGTGCTACAAGAAAATTTAAACCTCAAGATGAACCTTAAAAACCTAATCTCAAACTCTCAATACAACCCTAAAAACCCAAACTCAAACTCTTAACCCTCGATACGAACCCTAACTAAAACCCTCGAAATGGAGAGAAGACAAGAGAATGTTTAAGCTTCTAGAAAGTAAAAACCCATGAGTTTAATACTTACTTGAGATGGTTTTGGTTTTGGCTACCAAAAACCCTAAAGCTTCCCCTAACAGGTACGAATAGATGGTGAAAAGAGAAGAGATGGTGAAAAAAGAAGCAATCAACAAGTTTAATGGTAGGTGAAATATTATATATATATATATATATATATATATATATTTTTTTTTTTTTTTTCTGACTTGAAAAGTAACCGTAAATATAGATGGGCATTTTGGTCTTTGAAATTTTGAAATAAAATAAAAATATATATATAATAAGGACAGAAATATAATTACACAATAATAGTTAACGCCATCCAATCTAAAGTTCTGATAAGGGAGGTCCGTATAATTTGACAAATAAGAGAAGAGATCTGTGTATATTGACGAAATTTCAGGAGAGGTCAGTGTAATTTACCCTTTTATCAAATTTCAACCAAAATCGACCCTCTGCACTACCACATTGAGCTCCAAAACTTTTACTACATGATACCATCATGACTTGAAAATTAGTTTGACTTTTAGCATGAAAACTGAAAAACAGTTTTTGAAATCTTATCCCTAGAATTTTCAGTTTTTGTTCAAAAAGGAAATTGCACATACAAGAAAAATAAGTTATGTGGCTGTGTTTTTCAAGAATTATAAGTTATGTGGACCTTTTTTTTTTTTTTTTTTTTTTTTTTGTGGAAATGAAAAATGAAAAACAAAAAACAGAAAACAAATTGAAAATTTGTTTGGTTGATATGAAAATTTAGTTTAAAAAGTTTGATTTTGGATCAATTCCTTTTATTTTTATTTTTTATAAATAAATGAAAGAAAACAAAAACTAAAAAGGTCAAGTTTCTTACGGAGAAAATAAAAATAAAAAATAAAAAAAATCAAGGAGTCGAAGCCAAATTACCAACAAAAAAACGAAAAGAAAAGAAGGAAAGAAGAATAAATTAAAAGATCAAGGTTCGTTTTGGTCGAACTTGGAGTACAAGTTTTCTAATAGTACAAGTTTCCCATTTTCTTTCTTTTAAAAATGGAAAACAAGTAAAGAATGCAAAATACTATTAAAAGCAATTTTCTTAAAAAAATTTAACGCTTTGTTTTAATGGAACATTTTCCTTTATGTTAATTATTAAAGCATGTAATTTGGGACCATTAACGTGAAGTGAACGCAAAGTTTTATGTGTTTGGGCTTCATTATTATAATTCGAATTCAACCAAGCATGCTCTAAAATCAACCCAAATTTCACTCCGAACAAAAATGAAATTAAAGAAAATAACAAAAATTAGTCATATTTTAAGTTAGTTATGATCCGTGGAGAGAAAGAAGGAAGAAAAAAAGATGATGAATGAGTTATTATTATTGTTTCACAATTTTTTATTCATTTAAATATGGAATGAAAAATAGAAAAGAAGAAAAATAAGACTATTAAAAAAAATTTAAATTACAATATTAACCTTCACAATTATTAGGTACCAAACATCTGGAAAAGATGTACTTGTGTTTGAGTCCTTCCCACAGTTTTCTAAATGGTGTGCCCACGTGCGTGTCGAAAAACTAAGCATGGTTAGAGCCAATTATTCTTTTTCTTTCTCTTTTATAATGAAAAATATAAACCATGGCATATATATATTGCAGATAATCTTACAACAGCCCACAAAATAGTGTAAAAGCAAATGAGAAAAGACGGACAGAGACACAATGTCAAAGTTTTATTAGTCAGCACTCATTCATCACCAACTAGATAGATTGAATTGGCTGGTCAACTACTTTTACTTCTAACACCCCCCCCCCCCCCCCCCCCCCCCCCAAACCCTCAACATCCAGATACATGATCTCTCATTGCATAGGAATCAAGATTTTCTCCATATGGTAGTCATATCCGAGATGAAAAATGATCCAAAATATATATATAGAGAGAGAGATGGTATAAGAGTCAAGATTTTCTCCATAATGGCAATCATATCGAAGATGAAAAATGATCCAATATATATATATATATTAACAAAGAAAAAATGAAAAATGATACAATATATTTGCTTTGAAAATACCACTTTAATATTAGAACATTTTAAAGATACAACTCTCATACAATAATACACCCTATCTCAATATAACAATTATATTTTGAAAATATATTAGGTAATACATTTGTATAAAAAATGTAAAGTTATTCAAAATATACTAAACAAAATCATTAAAAAGTGGAGGAAAACTCAATGTGCTAGATTCATCGTCATTGTGAATATAGAAAGGGGCTAGATATAGGGTGCCCTTACCATTATACTAAAAAAAAAAAATGCCCAATATATTAGTTACATGAACATTTAATTCAAAATATATACATATTTTTTTTTTTTTTGGTTTATTTGTTGAGCTAAAAGACTTAAATGGCTCTAATACTTAAGTGGACTATTAGGAATTGAATTAAGGGCAAACGTTAAAATTAAATTGCGTTTATCACATAATTTAGCTATCAACTAAATATCATATCTTTTCTACAGTTGTATTGAATTTAGCTATCTATTAAATATCATATCTTTTCTACAGTTGTATTGAATATTTTTCCCAACACTCCACCCAACCTCTTTTTATATCAAACCCTACCCTTGTCCCAATTTCCATTTCCAACCGTCTTCAAAAACCTGTTTTTATTTCATTTTCTCTCACTTTTTCAAGAGAAAAAAGCCGTACATCTTTGTCTTACTTTTTTCTAGCCTACCAATCAAGCTTCTCTCTTTGTTTTTTCCTTGCTGATGAGCTGGATTTCAAAATTTTCAATTCCTTCAATCCCAAACAGCAAATATATAGGGGAGAGAATAATTAGTAGAATAGTTTTTATATATAGGAAAAATTCGAAAAGCAAAAAGCTTCTTGGCGACGACTTGCTTTGTTGAAATTCAGTGGTTTTAGAGAGAGAAAGAGGAATGTAAGTTCTGAAATTAAGGAATTTAATCGAAGAAGAAGAAGAAGAAGAGAGAGATGGTGGTGAGGAAGGTTGGGAAGTACGAGGTTGGGAGGACGATCGGCGAAGGAACGTTCGCGAAGGTGAAGTTTGCGCAGAACACAGAAACTGGTGAGAGTGTGGCTATGAAAATTCTCGATCGTAGCACCATCATCAAGCACAAAATGGTCGACCAGGTTAATTTTTCTCTCTTTCTCTCTCTCTCTATATTTACTCTAAATAAATATGTATATATGTATTTCGAAAATTGGTTGTAGAGGCAGTGAATCGAGCGATTGGAATTTGAAATAATCTTATCTGTTACTCAACAGATCCAAAACTGTCAAACTTTTCCCCTTTAATTTTCTTCATAAAAGTTCAAGACAGTACAGTACATTTAAATGAGATCAATTTGAACTGTGTCCTGAGCCGCAAATTGCTGTAAAACACTATTAAAAATCTGCTTTAGAGGCTCTTAATTCTTCAAAACATTATAACACTGATGAATGTAAATATTCACTCACACACACGTGTGTGTGGTTATAATTTATATATATATATATCCTGCTGTACGTGTACTTCAACCTGGTGTTGAGGGGTGTCTTCTAGGTTTCTTCAGCAATAGCTGCAGGCTGATTGGCATTTGGTGATGAAGAAGTTATTGAATGTTTGGGAATAAATTTTGTTTCTTAAAAATGAATGGGTAGTAATTATTGATAGAAAGAATTAGTCAAGAAGTTGGGGAATTAAATTTATATTGTAATAGTAGCTGCGTTTTCTTTTGAATTTAATTAGAGAATTGGAAGCTTGACGGTTAAAATCCACCATAGGCTGTAACACGGACCTGGTTCAAGTATCCCTTAGAGCTTGATCTTCTCATATTAATATTTACATCAAACAGGGTGGTAATTTGATTGTGGCTTCCATTTATAAAATTGACACAATAACCTTTTGGAACCTAAAGGATGAAAATAAAGATGTTAACTATGCTGAATTTGGGTGTCGTGACTAGCTTGACCGGTTACCTTTTTTCTTTTTAATCCTTTTACCAGACCAGGTAAGTACTAACATGCCGGGGCTCTAACCCCTCCCCTCCTCTTTGACCAGCACATCTTTCTGCTCTTTGTGTGTGCGTTTTGGTGATAGGGGGAGGGAGGATGGATGCATATCAATTTTCAAATTTTCATGATCTCTCTCTATCTCTCTCTTTGTTAATGAGTAATTTTTATGTTTTGATGCTAAACTTTTAGTAAGTTTTATTTGGTTTCCATCATGCAGATTAAGAGGGAGATATATATAATGAAGCTTGTTAGACATCCATATGTTGTTCGTCTACATGAGGTATGGGTTTAGTTATATAGTTCAAGCCTCTATATTATTATTTTTTTTGTTTTAGTTACTTTGGACTCCATGAGTCTGAATAAGTTTTCTCTTTAGTGATTTATGGTTTCTACTAACATAATTTCGTTTATGTATTAGGTTATAGCAAGTCGTACAAAGATCTACATAATCTTGGAATTCATTACAGGTGGCGAGTTGTTTGATAAAATAGTGAGTGTTCTAACTTAATGTTGAACAGCTTAAGATAAACTAGCTGTTTGTACTCTAGGCATTGTTCAGTTGCTTAAGTTGGACTAGCTGCATGTACTCATAAGAATAATTCTTCTTACATTCAATAAGAAGCTAGTATTAAGCATCTATATGCAGGTTCACCATGGACGACTTAGTGAAGCTGAATCTCGTGGATACTTCCAACAGCTCATTGATGGTGTTGATTACTGTCACAGTAAGGGAGTCTATCATAGAGATTTGAAGGTCTTCCTTGGCTGACACCAAAAGATATCTTTCTGTAATTATCATTTCAGGAAACTCTTACAACTGTTTCTTCTGTGTACAGCCTGAAAATCTTTTATTAGATTCCCAAGGAAATCTTAAAATTTCAGATTTTGGACTCAGTGCATTACCTGAGCAAGTAAGATTTTTTTTATCAAATTTTTATTGTTTTATCTATTTTAACACAATCGGTCATAGAAATCCTATTATAACATTTCTGCTTGGTGATTCTTGTGCATAGGGTGTCAGCCTTCTTCGGACAACCTGTGGAACCCCTAACTATGTTGCTCCAGAGGTAGTTTTTTGGGTAGCTTCTAAGTTTGGAGTTTAATGAGGACAGATATTTTTCTAATTTTACCCACTTATGTATTAGCTATTTTTTTTTTAATTTGGTTTTCTGCTGTAGGTACTTAGTCACAAGGGTTATGATGGTGCTGCCGCAGATGTTTGGTCATGTGGGGTCATCCTTTATGTTCTGATAGCAGGATATCTCCCCTTTGATGAGATTGATCTCACTACACTGTACAGTAAGGCATGAACTGTTGTCACATTTACTTTCTTTGATCCTTGTGTCTGTAATTCGCAGCCAGCATTGCATTTATCTGGGTGTGAAAGCTCTGCAAAAGCAACATTTGCCTTTGTTGTGGATGTATGCTTCTCACTCATCTCAATGTTATGAAGATGACATAAATTGTTACAGCTCACAACAATTTACTGCAGATTGATAAAGCAGAGTTCTCATGTCCATCCTGGTTTCCAGTAGACGCAAGATCTTTGATTTATCGAATTTTAGACCCGAATCCTGAAACTGTAAGTATTGACTGACGATAGTTACACATTGGATATCATTTTATTTCCTGTATCGGCTGCATTTATTAATTCTGATGTGTCAGAAGGATGAATAGCCAGGTCTAACTGTTAGTGGCTGATCACTAATGCAGAAGTGAATCATTTGGAAGAATGGTCAATAAAAAAAATGAAATTCAATATATGTTGATCCAACATTTAAGGCCTTGCTAATGAAATCCAACTTTTTTGTTGAATTACTTATTGCATTCTATTTATTGGCTTCATATTCACCCTATCACGCCCTTCCTAGAAATCAGTTCTGGACCAGACAAAAATGTGCCAAAGTATATTGTTTTATTTGATCTTGGCTGTTGTGTATAACAACTGGCACTTGCATTTTGATTCAGTAAGGGCCTTCAAACCAGCAAATAATATGAATATTTAAGCTGGTACATTCCCCAGGAAATTGTTTATAGTAATAGAAACAGCTAGAATGAATCTAAGATTGTACCAAAATATTTTAGTATGTTATTGTGTTTAGTAACTGCCATCTGCACTTTGATTCAGAAAGGGCCTCCAAACCAGAAAATAGTTTGAATATGTAAGCTCATAAATTCTCAAGGAAATTATCAATAGCAATAGAAACAGTGTAGAAATTGGACAAAAGTTGTGTTATGTTCATAAATGGAGTTTTTGGAATTTTTAAAAATCCTATTCAGTATTTGGAACTGTATATCCATCATACAATATAAAATGACACCCATATTATTAATTTGAACTTCAATTTATGAGTTAAAGATAATTTCTTACATAAAATTTGGATTGAAGTCAATTAAATAAGACATTTAATATGAATTGGTATCTGATAAATCTTCGAAAATATCTCCCTTATAAACTTGGACTCATGTAGACAATAACACCTGAAGCAACAAAGAGTGTATCATTATAGTCTACAAGAAAGCCTTTGTAGGTTTTTTCTGTGATGCCCATATCTGGAGTGAAGCTGGCATGTTAGAATCCGGTGCTCCAACTTCTGTTGGATGAGTAATTCAGCTCTGAGAGAAGATTAGCCCCATTCGACGCCGTATGGAAATTTTTATCGTATGAGCTGGTCTTTGAGAATACTTGGATAGTTAGATGTACCATAACACTATAATATAGTCATACCCACTTTTGATGGCTTGATGGCGTTATCAATTAATGCTTCAGTACTTCTTCTTTTTTTTTTTTTTTTTCTTTTTTTTTTTTTTTGATAAGTAATGCTTCAGTACCTCTGTATCAAACTATTTAGTATTTTTTCCATTCTATCTTATCGGATAGATGTGTTTCATACGTGGACTGAGGTTGAATTTCCATTGATAATCATAACATTAATGATTATGAACCTGATCATTTACCATAATTGAAGTTGCTTTAGTTCTGGTTGTCACTGACCTCTGTGTCTGTGTGTGTGAAGCGTATTCGGATTGAAGAGATCAGGAATGATGAGTGGTTCAATAGGGGTTATGTTCCTGTCAGACTTCCTGAAATTGAAGATATTAACCTGGACGATATGAATGCTGTTTTTGATGATCCTGAGGTTGGTAATGCTTTCAATTGCTATTTATCTCCTATAGCATTTGGTGTCATATGAAATAGTGGTAAAGTCATTACTTTATTTATTTTTTTATTTTTATTTTTCTAATAAGATTGATGCAGAGTTTGTGAGGCTTTCAATTGGTATATTTCGATAATAACAAAGTGTTATATGAATGATTGAAAGTGTTTCAAAGTTCTGTGTTTTGATAAAATTGATGGTGGCAGTATGCGTACTGCAAGTAAATGATTCTTACCACACTAGGTGTCTACTGTTTTTAATGCACAAATTTGAAGATTGGAGTTACTTTTGTTCATCTTTAGTCTGATCTATTCAGTTTAAATGTTTAGAATTTTAGTAATTGCAAGTATCCCTGGCTATCCAACTTGGAAGTTTCTGTAAAACTATTAGAATGTTGATATTCAAAATAGAATTTAGGCAAAACTCAACAGCTCCAGTGATCAGCCAGGAAGCACAGTTATCTGATTGGCTTCTTATATTCATAGTGTATGTTAGAGTTACCCACCCATGAACACACATACAAGATAATAAATACTCATAAACATTAAAACTGATGCACTTGTATAATAGAAATGGATTTTACCATTTTAGAACCCTGAGGTACTTTAAAGGGTCAGTGTTCTAGTTGATGCGCTTTATCATCTCATGTCCAAACTGCACTGGTTAGTGGTTACTAGGTTTTGCTATTTCATTAGGTGAAATACTTGAAGGTTGTAGATTTAAGTACCCTTTTGTAGTTGTTGATAAAGAGGACACCCATAAAGAATAAGCCTATTTAAAGAGAAAATCACCTCTTTCATTAGAAACACGAGCTTCCATATGAGTTTTAGATAGAATTTTGTAGTTTTTTTTTTTTTGTTTTTTTCCGTCTTCCTTAAAGTTCCCTGTACAATGGTGGTATCTTGTAGGAAGAACAAGCTAATGAGCATTGCAGTAATGAGGAGCTGGCACCTTTGATTCTTAACGCATTCGACCTAATTATTCTCTCACAAGGCTTGGACCTTTCGGCTATGTTTAATCGTGGGCAGGTATTAATTACAAATCTTTTTCCTCTACTCCAGTCATTTGTAATGATGCTTAAATATCTATTTATCTCAAAATTGCACAAATTGTGTAGTTCATTATTTTCCACATGATTTGTTCCATATAGTATTCCTGAATTATTGAAATTTTTTATATATGCTGCCTCTGGTATTGCCAGTAGGACATTGCAAATATTCTCTCACTTCAGTTATATTTCACATTCTTGAATTGGGTTTGATGTAATATCAATAGAGGTTTTTATATTAAACTGATAGTTTAGTTTTAACGTCTTTTCCTCACAATTCCATTGATATATTTGAATTTATTGTCTTTCTCAACAGGATTCTGTGAAGCATCAAACACGCTTTGTTTCACAAAAACCAGCAAAGGTTGTTTTGTCCAGTATGGAAGTTGTTGCACAATCAATGGGTTTCAAAACACATATTCGTAATTTTAAGGTAGACCAGTTGGAATTTGTAATTAGCAAACAAATATATTTTTTATTTTATTTTTAAATAACCTTCAATATATGCAATCCGTTAGTTTTTTCCTCCATAGTTGAATTCTGTACAAGTTGATCAAGTAACTGTACGAGAAACATGAAGGAATATTGAACTGATTTGAACTGAAATTTTTGTTTTCAGATGAGAGTGGAAGGTCTTTCAGCGAATAAGACTTCACACTTCTCAGTAATGCTGGAAGTAAGTTCCGAGCCCGACTCTCCACGTTCATGTCACGTGTCAACCAGTAATTGAATTTTAGTCATGTAATCTTCTTTCTGTACAGATATTTGAGGTTGCTCCCACATTTTTCATGGTAGACATTCAAAAAGCAGCTGGAGATGCTAGTGAATATCTCAAGGTCAGTTGTTTGATTTAGAGACTCTCTCTCTTTATCTACTTTAATCAGAAAAAAGAAAAAGAAAAATGGCTACTTAAATTTAACGCATTCTGATAGTTGAGACTTGCACTTTTCTTTGATCAGTTTTACAAGAACTTTTGCAGCAATCTTGAGGATATTATCTGGAAACCACCAAATGAATCATCCAAATCAAGGATTACCAAGACTAAGAGTAAAAGGCGTTGATTTTGAATCTCGAAGCAACATCTGTTTCCGGTATGTGTTCTATAGAAGATTTACCTATTTCTTTTAGAGACGACTACTCATTGCAATCATAAGATAAGCAGTTCTATTGCAGTTTACCGAACCCCACCCACCTTCCCTCGCTCGCCACCCACATCCCACCTGAAAGAATGGGTAGGCCTCTCGAGCCGAGTTGGTCAAAAACTCCCACAATTTTGTATAATTATTGTGTGTAAGTTTTTAATTTTATCTAAAGCTTTATCTCTCTCTTTCATTATAATGCCATTAAACCATTTTGTAGCCAGAGGAGTACAAGTTGAGAGATTTTTTTCTCTTTTAATCTAAATGAAGCATCTTTTCTGTAAGTTCAGTACCTTGGCTACCTCGCAAGTATTGTCTCTGTTTTTCTCTATCTGGGTTGTATTTAAATTCTGGGAATTGCCAAAATTATATTAATTTCATCATTTTTTAACAGAAGAAAGAATATTAGATTTTGAAGCGTCATTGGTTATACAGGATTAGCATGATTTCATGGATTTTATTATAAACTTGATGGTAATATTGTCTTCCACATGGACAGATTTATACATGATTTAACCAAACATGTGATTTTCTCCAAGTTGGCGATTGATCCTCGTGTTATGTTTGGCGACACTGAATCGGTGTATTGAATTTCGGATTGGAGGAAGTTTAGTACAAAATTTAAACTAAACTTTCTTCAATCCCAAATATAAATATGCACGAATCAGTGCGCGTGCGCTCCCAAACGTAGTAACATCAGGTTTTTCCTGCATTAAATTTATGATTAGCAATCATCCAACCATAAATAAATGTCTTTGGATAAGTAGTGGAAGTGGGAGGGAGAAATAAAGGAGGGGATAGTAGGTGTGAATGCTCTTTCAAATTATAAAATAGCACTGGTACTGCTTTATTCTCAAATTAAAACAGTGTTGGAGGTTTGATAATAGAGAATTGATTTGTTTCCAAATTCATACATAAAAAATTTATGGTATTCTAACGCTTTTATTTTATAATTTAATTAAGATTTATAGATAATCCTAACCAAATCATCTTTTTATTTAATAAAATAATCTAGGAGTTTAAATTAAAGTCGTTGAATAAATTGCACAAGTAGCAGTGAGGAGTTTAAATGAAGCCGAAGTCGAAATATGAAAGAAATAGATATGCCTAACTACTTTATTCTATGGATATAGAATAAAGGATCTAATTGATAGAGGAAGCACCGTAAAGATCCATTAACGAGGTTGAATAAACTGGGGGAAGCTAAAGTAGTTTTTAAAAGAATTTTTCTTCTAGTGCTCATAGAATCACAATCATCCTCCATTTGAAATAATGTGGTGCTCTTCAAATTCATAAATATTTTATCATCTCCTCTAGGAAAAAAAAAAAAAAAAAAAAAACCAGATTGAATAAAAGAGTTAAATCCACAAACAATGTCGTGTTTCATCTAATTTTTCAAATTAATCTTTTAAGTCAATAACAACGCAGGGCTATATTCTAGTTATATGCAGGTAAGTCAATATTTGTTTTCAACTTTTTTTTTTTTTTTTTTTTTTTGTCGAAAATTAAAGCAATTGTCATTAATGGAAATATTTACAATGGGCCATTGGCCCAAAGTAGCAAAAAACAAGTTAAAAATAAGCCCAAATGAGCAGGGCCATAAACGCATACATTGAAAACAAAATGGTAACTGCCATTAACGACAATTGCCACAAACAAAAGAACTTCCGGCCTTTAACAAGGAAAGGAGGCTGAACCGCCAAAATCTCAATCCGGTGGCCTTGGAGGAGGACGGCAACTTTGGAACATTAAGGCGGGTTGTAGTAATTTGTTGATTAGATAATGTTATAGAAGGATAAAAAGTTTTGTAGAGATGGTACATAGATAATTAGATGAGAAGTTATAGAGTAGATATATCATATTAAATCCTAACCATCCATTATAAAGGAGATGCCTATAAAAAAGAGCCAGAAGTCACATTTGTAATCAACGACTACTTATAAAAGTGTAGTCAGAAGTGAGAATATATGGATGAACGAAGTGCCGTAATTAGGTAGGCTTATTATATGTGAATGCATGAGTACTGTGTTTTATTAGTTCTCATCATTTTATATGCAAATACAAATAAAATATATCTCAAATTTTTTGCTCTTGTGCATTCCGTATTTGGCAGGAGAGAGACACTTACTCAATAGGATTGGACCCTTTTTTTGTTTGTACTATAAATGGAATATTTTAATTGATTATTTTGATGAATTATCATTGCTTTGTAATTCTCAATTCTAAAGTATGCCCAGTGTCTATTTCTATTCATAGTAATCTAGAATATAAAAAACAGAGTAATGAAGTTACGAAACAAATCGTTGATACGATCCTTTAATTAATTTATTTATTTTATTAAAAATATAATGAAAAATTTAATCAAATTACATGATGAAAAATGATTTTCTTACCATCTTTCATAGTTTCATAAAGTTTGGTAATATAGTTATTTTGATTCAAAATAGTGAAAATAGTATTGTTAAAAACAAATTGACATAATTAACCTTACGTTAGTGAATGAAGTCTAATTGGATGAACGTTATTCCGTATTGTATTTATGTTGTCGCTTTAAATAATTATATTAACTTTATACTTCCAAAAATGCCCTTTCAAACTAAAAAATCTATACTCCTTAATAATCTACATACAACTTGCCATCAAAGTGAATCTCACAAGCGTCCCAATCAACAATCAAAACGATCAAAAAATTCTTAATTCCTACATTTTGAGGTGAGTTTGCCTCATTTGAACATTTTGGCACATTCCCAAAAAACCTAAAACCCTATTCTTCGGATAGCAAAACAAATGTACATAATTTCATGTGAGGCTTAAACGGCTCATTTTTCTGAGAGGATAGCTCATGTAGTCATACCACCCATGTCAGTGGCTCTACAGCAATAATAATGCATTTAATAATCGTGTAGAGAGAAGAAAGAACAAAACAATAATACGTGGTTCAGTCACTAGGGCTTACGTCCACGGGAGAAAATGGAAAAAAATTTCTTATTCAGTATGTCTCAATGGAGATCATAGCAGCACAATAAATAGTTACAATATTGTTCCAATTAAGGAAAATCAGTGGTATCAATTATGGAACACGATTTAAGGAAAGTATCACCAATGGCTCACAATATCAACCATAAATAAAACAAATCCAATAAATCTCTCTTCTCCACCAACACTCCACGTCAAGTTGGTGACTTGAGGTGCGAAAATATCGATAGAGCCAACTTGGACAATATCTCTTGAAACTTGATAGTGGGCAATCCCTTGGTTAAAATATCTGCTAACTGTTGGTTACTGCGAACAAACGGAGTACAAATAACATTGGTTTACACGTTTTCTCAAACAAAATGACTATCCATTTCAATGTGTTTAGTCTGCTCATGATACACTGGATTTGAAACAATGTGTATTGCAGTTTGGTTATCACAAAACATTTTTGTTGGTCCAGACAAACCAAAACCCAAATCATGCAATAAAGCTCGAAGCCAAATAACTTAACTTGTGGTTGAAGCCATTGCTCGATATTCTACTTTTGCGCTTGATCGTATAACAACATTCTGTTTCTTACTCTTCCATGTTACCAAGTTACCTCCAACAAAGGTACAATACCTAACCCAATCAGCATTTGTGTAGGCAATAATAAAACTGTGCCCATTCCTACATTAATATTCCTCTTCTTGGTGATCCCTTCAAATACTACAAAATTCTATTTACAACATTCATGTTATTAACTCTTGGTGCATGCATATATCTGCTAACCAAACTGACTACATATAAAATATCTGGCCGAGTAATGGTTAAATAAATCAATCTACCAAGTAATCATTGAAATTGTCCAACTATCATCACTAATCTTGTTGCCATTATCAGTATGAGTATCTGAAGGTCTGACTCCCAATTTACCAATTTCTTGTAACAAATCCAACACGTACTTTCGTTGATTTAGAAAAAATGCCATTTTTTGAGTAGACAATTTCTAATCCAAGAAAATACTTTAAAACTCCCAAATTATTAATGGAAAATTTCTTATGTAAAAGAGTTTTGAGCTTTGATATTTTATCACGATCATCGCCAGTGATCACTATATCATCAATATAAAAAAGAACAACAGTTGTACTAGAAATACCTTTCTTGACAAACAGAGAAGGATCTACAACACTTTTTTTTAGCCCATTAATCATGAGAACAAAACTGAGCTTAGCATACCAGGCTTGTGGAGATTGTTTAAGCCCATATACAGCTTTTTTTTAGCTTACACACAAAACCAAACTTGGATTCTTATGGGTGGCCAGGAGGTACACTCGTGTAAACTTCTTCTAAATCACCATGTAGGAACACATTTTTAACATCCATCTGCAATAATTTCCAGTCTTGATTCATTGCCAGATATATGAGAAATCGAAATGTATTCATCTTTGCAATAGGGGCAAATGTCTTTGTATAATCTTCTCAATAAGTTTGAGTAAACCCTCTAGCAACAAGTCTCGCCTTATGTCATTCCACGGTTCCATCACTTTTATATTTTATTTTATTTACCCAACGACAACCAATTGTTTTCTTCCTTGGAGGTAATCTAACAATGTCCCACGTCTTATTTTCATTAAGGGCTTGTAACTATCTTTCATAGCTTTTTTCCACACAGGACTGGAATTAGCTTCTCAAAATTCTTTGGCTCGTGACCATTAGATATTACACTTAAAAAGGTAAAATAAGACTTATTGACATTATCATATGTCAAATAAGTATGCATAGGATAAGATATGGCATGATAGGTAAAAAAAAATCTTTCATTTTTTCTGAAGGACGAGTCACTCTACTCGATTTTTGTTGAGTTGGCGATGCCACTGATACTATCTGAGGTACTGTGTAATACCCCTAATTTTAAAAGGACAATCTCGTCATTTTAATTATTATTTTTTATTTCATTTGTGTGTGCTTATTTGCTTATGTGCTTATTTGTTAATTATTTTTATTATTTATTTGATTTAATTGGTTTATTTAATTGACTTGTTTATTTACTTGTATTTAGCATTTAATTGAATTGTATTTCGTATTTAATTGAATTGAATTTTAATATTAACTTTGGGGTTTTATTCTTTTATGTATCACATATTTGGCCGGCTAGGATTTAATGAGGTTTTACGATTTTAATTAGGTTTTTAGTCTAGGGTTTTAAGTGGACTTAGGTTTTGTAATTGCCTATAAATATACACGTTATACGTCTGCCTAGGGTTTTAGAACCCTATTCACGACACAGTGAAGTAGAGCGACATAACAGAGACTTGAAAGAAAACAGAGCGA